AGGGCCGCGTCCTTGCAGGGGAAGGCGCGGCGTGCGGCGGCCACCAGACTGGGGCTCCCCGCGCAGGCGCCCTGGTCGGTGACAAAACGGTCAGGCCCTGGCCGGTCAGGAGAGGGCGGAGGGCAGCCCAGGGCCGTGTAGTTGGGGCGGCACACGGACAGAAAGTGCGGCGTGGGGTTGCCGGTCACCACCTGTCCCGCGTTGGCGAAGATGGTGGTGGTGAAGAGGCCGAAGGAGTACACTCCTGGAGGAGGGGTGCAGAGGGCGTCACCCCGAGGGCCCGGAGGCTCTAGCCCTCCTCCTGAGACGCTCCTCATGTCTGCCCTGGACCCCTTGTTTCCTTGACCACCACGGTAGCACGCCTGGGACTCCTTTACCCGGCGCCCCGCTAAGGTATCCCTTCCTTTGGGACCACGGTGATGGCACTTGGGGTCTCCTGCCCCCTGGGGCCCTCCCTGTGTACAGCCGGCCTCTGTCCCTCTGGGGTTACCTCGTGTGGGCAACAGGCCTCCCCTTGGAACCCTGCTATCGTGTAGGATAGGCCTCCTGTACCCGTCACTACGCCAGCTCTTACCAAGTGGACCCCTCTCTCCCTGGGGGCCCCACACGACCCAGAGAGGGGTCCACTCTGCTCCCCGTGCTTGACCAGCTGTGACAAGGCCCCACCGAAGGTGACTGGGAGCCTCGTCTCCCTGCCCACACACCCTTTTGCGTGGCCACCAACATGTCGCCTCTCTTCCACCTGAGACTGCGCTGCTCTCACTCTGGGGTCGCCTTCCTCCGGTTGACACCACGGGTGGGGCAGTGCCTCCAATGTCCCTGGAATCTCCCTTTCATCTGATCTGACCCCAAGTCCCTCTTTGCCCCCCAAAGCCCCCAGAATGACAATTTTAGGACTCCCTCCTTCCCACTTGCAATTCTAATCACGACTCGGTCTGCACCTGTCCCCCATTGCCACAGGGCCGACGCAGCCTTGTCGCTCACCCAGGAAGCGGACCAGCCTCCGCAGCGGGGGGCTGAAGCGGCAGCAGGCCCCCGACACGATGGTGCTCTCCCCGATGATGGGGCTGGCCGAGGGCGTGGGGATGAAGGCCCGTGCCAGCTCCCCCAGCAGGATCTGTGGACAGCACCAAGGGGGGGACTCCCTGGCCTTCAAGCCCAGATGGCCACCAGTCCCCACCTGGCCTTCCTGCCTCCTGGGAGGCGACCCCCACCATCTCACCGTGAGGGTGGGCCCAGCAGTGACCAGGGCGTAGATGAGGGTGGGAGGTGCTCGGCTGCTGGCCTCAGGCCCCGGGTAGGGCTTGGCATAGGTACTGTCATAGCAGAAGAACCCCTGGGTGTGCACCGGGAAGGTGTCTGTGAACTCCAGGCGGTAAGCGAGCAGGACCACGATGCCCAGCAGAACTGACTGTGGCCAGCCAGGGCATGAAGAGGCAGACAGGGAGAGAAAGGAGATGTTCAGAGGCATGGAAGCCAGGAGACAGAGACACAGAGACGGAGGGAAAGAGCAACCCTGGGAGACAGACGGCGACCGGGCAGGCACGGTGGTGCACGCCTGTCACGCTAGCACTCGGGAGGCTGAGGCAGGAGGATCGCCATGAGTTCAAGGCCAGCCTGGGCTACATAGTGAGATCAAAGTCATCCTGAACTACATAGTGAGCCCTTGTCTCAAAAATAAATTTAAAAAAATAGGACAGAGACCAACTAATAAGGACAGAAATAACAGAAGTACTATCGGCCAACACAGGTGTGAATCCTTCTGTAGGTGCAGCTGCCTGCTAAGCCCCTTCCTTGAATTAAGTCCTTTTATTTTCCTACCAGTCCTAGGAGAGAGGACCCTAGTTGTGTCCATTTTTATGGATGAAGAAACTGAGTCCCGGGTGCCTGGAGTCCTGCCGT